CGTTAATCCCTCATCCAGCAAATTCGAAGAACTCGATGAAATCAAAGCAGCTGATTTAATGAAATAACAGGTGTTACACTAAATGCAATTTGCGGATTCCAATTACACATCTACTACTAATTGCGCTTCTAAATTTGGATAAATAATTTTCTCACACATATATGGGATTGTCAATATATTAATCGTTGTTAATTCATTAATCCGTCATTTTACTGTTATCGAAATTCACTTCCGACGATGCTCAGTAGGTTGGAAATCCGTTTATCGTGTCCAAAATGATTTTAGCGTTCTTATAAGACTTATGATCATAATACAGGTCATAATAACTCATTGTATTCGTCTAGACATCAGCTATATATAATGTTATCAAATCAAAAATATACTATATATATATATATATATATATATATATATATATATATAGTATATTTTTTTTTTGATAACATTATATATAGCCTGTCTCTTATACACATCTAGATGTGTATAAGAGACAGGCTATATATAATGTTATCAAAAAAAAAATATACTATATATATATATATTCTACTTGAGAAAATAAGAAAAAAAAATTTGGTATAACATTTTTTTGTCTGGCACCTGTCTCTTATACACATCTAGATGTGTATAAGAGACAGGCTATATATAATGTTATCAAAAAAAAAATATACTATATATATATATATTCTACTTGAGAAAATAAGAAAAAAAAATTTGGTATAACATTTTTTTGTCTGGCACCTGTCTCTTATACACATCTAGATGTGTATAAGAGACAGGCTATATATAATGTTATCAAAAAAAAAATATACTATATATATATATATTCTACTTGAGAAAATAAGAAAAAAAAATTTGGTATAACATTTTTTTGTCTGGCACCTGTCTCTTATACACATCTAGATGTGTATAAGAGACAGGCTATATATAATGTTATCAAAAAAAAAATATACTATATATATATATATTCTACTTGAGAAAATAAGAAAAAAAAATTTGGTATAACATTTTTTTGTCTGGCACCTGTCTCTTATACACATCTAGATGTGTATAAGAGACAGGCTATATATAATGTTATCAAAAAAAAAATATACTATATATATATATATTCTACTTGAGAAAATAAGAAAAAAAAATTTGGTATAACATTTTTTTGTCTGGCACCTGTCTCTTATACACATCTAGATGTGTATAAGAGACAGGCTATATATAATGTTATCAAAAAAAAAATATACTATATATATATATATTCTACTTGAGAAAATAAGAAAAAAAAATTTGGTATAACATTTTTTTGTCTGGCACCTGTCTCTTATACACATCTAGATGTGTATAAGAGACAGGCTATATATAATGTTATCAAAAAAAAAATATACTATATATATATATATTCTACTTGAGAAAATAAGAAAAAAAAATTTGGTATAACATTTTTTTGTCTGGCACCTGTCTCTTATACACATCTAGATGTGTATAAGAGACAGGCTATATATAATGTTATCAAAAAAAAAATATACTATATATATATATATTCTACTTGAGAAAATAAGAAAAAAAAATTTGGTATAACATTTTTTTGTCTGGCACCTGTCTCTTATACACATCTAGATGTGTATAAGAGACAGGCTATATATAATGTTATCAAAAAAAAAATATACTATATATATATATATTCTACTTGAGAAAATAAGAAAAAAAAATTTGGTATAACATTTTTTTGTCTGGCACCTGTCTCTTATACACATCTAGATGTGTATAAGAGACAGGCTATATATAATGTTATCAAAAAAAAAATATACTATATATATATATATTCTACTTGAGAAAATAAGAAAAAAAAATTTGATATAACATTTTTTTGTCTGGCACTCCGTTTTCAAGAAAATCGTTTTTAAACTTTGTTCATCTTTGTAAAGGATTTAGTTGTCGTTTACTCTTCTACTGCACTTGCCTCCGTCTAAGATAGTGTTTATAAACATTGACCATGATGGAAATATTCCGTTTACTACATACTTCGCAACAAGTAATGTTTGTAAACACTTTTCTAACGCTGGATTGCGAAACGCGGTAAAACTATTGATCTTTGTGTGAGCGTGGTTTGCCGCGGCTTTTCGCATTTCGAACCGATTCGCGCCACTTGGATCGGCCGTTTCCGTCTTAGTTCGGTCTTTCTCGTGTTGCCACGGCTCTCGTGGTCTCGTTATCCAACAAGTGTCGGTAGCGCGGGTAGAAAGTGGCGGCCTGTGCGCGCGGGCATATCGTGGCGCTCTAAACTTAGCCACGCTCATATAAGCGCCGCACCGTGTGGTCGCCAGCTTGCGTAATCGCTCTGTACTTTTTAACGGCGCTCCGATGCAGATGTAGATAGGCGGGGTCCGATCGCTCGTCATGATAGCCGCCTTCGAAACTGTTATGTAAAGATAATGCTTGCGGAAAAAGAAAAAAAAAACAAATTTTTGCTCGGATAAAGGGAAACAAGGTGTGAACGCCGATTATTCAAATGACATTCGCCGGTCCTGTACGGAATAATACAGAAGTTAATTTGCAGACTGCAGAACCCTCGCACTGTCTTCAGTGAATCGCAACGTTCACTATTGCTTCACTGGCAAGGACAATCTATCGTGTTATGACATTTTTTCCTTGTCTTTCAGATTATTTTAAATTTATTATTTTATTTCAAAAATCTCTATCTGAACTATCAATCCATTAATCTGTCATAACTATAGATTGTTGAATTTTCAGTGAAACACAATCGCAAACGCAACAACAAAAAGTATATAGCACCGTTTAAAAAACGAGACACAGCCGTCGTATTTCCTAAAACAATAATACCGCAAAAAAATTGTACTCTGCCATAATTTCGGCCTCTCCTATTTATTAAATGTTATCGAAACATCTTTCTCACACCTATAATGTTTTAAGAGACAACGATCTATTTAAAATTGAACACGGACGCTATGTTTATGTTGACTGCAATTAACGGCGAAGGCTGCGTACATTACTATATGTATGTAGTAGTAATTAACCGCGCGTATTAGAAGCAATTAGATCCTGTGATAAAGCGTGAAATATTCCGAAAACGATAACTATTTCAAATCCTTACTATTTCGACGCTTTCTTTCATGATAGTAACGGCGTAGAATTAATCGTTTTACATCTGTTTGAATAATTTTCCATTGATCTACATTTACGTCAGAAGAATGAAAAGTATTCAGTATGAAGACTAAAAAATGTCAGTTATTTACAAACACATGAGTGAGCCTAATCTTTGACTAGGTCCGTCGATTTTCAAATTCCAACCTTATGGATGAAATTACTTTGATTTAGCAAGCATTTTTAAAACACTTTCGAGGTTAACAATTTTCACCGTCAAATAAAGATGAACATTGCACATCAGCTTCAGAAAATATTTTTCAATTAAGCCTTGTGCATCCATCCTGAATATCTGATCTGCTCTAACGAAATTCATGACTAAACCTGCGGATTTTATGCATTTATGAAAAAAAATGAACAGATCTAATACAAAACAGTGAAAACATTATCATGTTTAGAGCAAAATCTGTTTCCATTTAGCCTGCGTTATAACATTCTGTGAAACATGCGAATACCGCAGGTTTAAATAATATTTATTAAAATGTCTTGTACAAGTAATATTTAGGTACATTCTTTTATGATCGCAAAATTATTTAAAATTAATTTATATACAAACATATAATTACTTAAATTTTATATTGTCAGTCACCAGTGATTGACGCGGTCCGACATTGCCCTTAACGCGTTAAAAGAATATCAAAGTACAGTTGCATTATTTCCAAATTATTAAAATATGAAACAACGTCTGCGTATCTCCTGTATTTTGTAATTAGTGCAGACAATTATTATTCGCAGTTTATTCATAACCTAAAATAAAATCTCAACAATAACATTAATTGAAAAATTTGCACGTTTTCGGCTATATTTAAGACATTGAAATTTTGAATTGCCAAGTAGTGTCCATCGACGCTCTTCGTAGTCAATGTTAAAGATGTTGGTATTCAGAATTATTTAATTAATTCATTAATTTATTTATTTATTAATACTTTAAACCAGATGGATTATTTGACAAATACAGAATCGTTACATGTACATATGTTCGATATCACTTATTATTAGTTTTCAAATTCTCTCTTACTGAACATTGTTTAATTAAATTATAAATTATTCTTAGCCCAATATCGGGATTACATAAGTAGAAACTGATGTCCTGGAAGCTTTGTTTCTAGTGTAACTATCATAATCAAATGTCAGAAAATTATTGATATTCACAGAATATAAGTTAAAAGCGTTTCATTCATTCAAATTCGGCAATCCCAAATTCGTAAGCCTACCAATTTTCGTAAAAATCGTACGAGGTTACGAATTGTGGTCAACTTTTTAAGAAAAGGTACCGTCGTACGTCGCAACTGCACGAGTTACAAAATCAGATTGTTAGCTTTCCAGATCGTTGTCGGCGATCCGCCTTCCGTTTGCCGCATCTATCGAACAATCAAAATCGCTAAATAATTCAATGAGTCAAACCGAAAACGGTCTTCGGTAAAAAAAGGGAAAACTTCGCGGACCGGCGACGAACCACGGAGCACGTTCGCGACGGTCACGTGCGGTCGGACGTCTCGATGAAATTCATTATCGCGATTGCGACGCGAACGCGCGGGAAAAATATTTATTCGATCGGGTTCGCGCAGAAAGAGACAACAGAGCGCTGAGAACGCTCCGAGTGCTCCTGGCCTTTTAATGGTGGCTGATAAATACGGGCCGTATTCGTATTGCGCATCAACGCCGGAGAGTTACACGGATAACCTATGATCCGTGAGCGGTATAGTGATTCCCCTGCGCGGAGCGCAAATCGTGCATGCGTAATTGCGAATTATCGCTTGATCGGCTTGCGCAATGCTTGTAACTCGTGGCTCCAGAATTCAGAAAATTGGTCACGAAACAACGCGGAGTAACGCGAGGCTCGTGTCGCATTTGTCAGCAAGACATTGTCAATTAGAACTATATGTATGTAGAATTGTGGAGCATGCGCCAACACTAATTACCCGCGGAAAGTTGCTCGAACTCGTTCGCCGGTGAGGACAAAGTTGTTTGTAGTTTTATACTCCGCGTCGGTTCCTGCATACCTAGTTCATTGAAAATTCCTCGGCTTGATTCGATCATAATATTTTGTACGGGTATTATGGGATCAATCAGTTCAAATCATTTTCATTCATCTTTAATTGAGGCCATACGTACCAGAAGGGCGCGAGTGCAAGAAACTGATTATGGGAGAACGACATGGACCGAGAGAAGTATGTAGTCGTATGGATCTTTGAGAACGGTTTATGTAATCTTCAAGGCTGGCATATTACACGTTTTAATGCAAACGAAATATTTATATATAGCGTTATGTCTTTCATGTTACAATAGTTTACAATACTTTAGATATTTTTATTGTTTTATCTACTCAGTTTTGTTATAAATTGGTAGAATTTGCGGTCAAATTCCGAGACATAATATGTAATTTTATAATGACACAACGTCATGCTATTTTTGTAGCGGTCGAATTTAGAATCATCTCGTAATGCTTTCACTCGATTTATTAATTTATTTAACTGAGAAGTTTGCAAAAGGAAATCGAAAGGAAATTATTGTATGTATTATTAAATAGCATGTTAATATTTATCCGTAGTTCAGATTCTCTTTATCAATCCTCTTTACCAATACCGAACAGCGACGATAACATTTAACATAAATCAGTGATTACTATTATTAACGTGTTCTTCAGTTCCAGTGTTGCTTAAATAATAACTATTTATATTCTTATAGTCATGAATTCACACACGTACACACATAATTTACATTTAAGTTCTTCTCTATCTATATTTACGCTTCTGTGATTCTAATTTGAATTCGTATCTTTAGAATTACTTCATTGTTTATTACTATCATCAATTTATTGATAAGTATCAGTAAAATGAAACAAGCATCAATCATTCGAAGACTTATTTTTAAAAAATATAAAAAATGTTTGCCATCGCGCGAAACAATCGCGTTTCGCTAAATACGAGAAAAAAATGTGCATTCTAGTCGTTAAGCTTTGGCCTTGAAACGTGAGGACACAATTTCGAGTGCTAGTTAGAAGCTTCCCCGGATTGAAATTCGAAATCGCACGACTTGAAAAATAATCGCTTGCCTTTGAAACGCGAGCGCGGTCCCCGTAAAATTGTAAACAAAAATGCGAGGCAATCGTTCGAGTTGTTTGCTTTTGTTCATGTATTTTTTTCCTCCTTTTTTTCTTTTAAATATATAGGAATTTCGATGTAACCGAGTTCGAGCATAACCATACTCCATATACGGCGGGCCGAGCGTAATTTATTTCGTAACGTGAGACTCAAGTGTGCTTGTACGCGCGCAATAATATTACCGATCAATGAATGGACGTTCACGTAATTCCTTTCGATAAACAAAGTCGTAGTGTTTCGGTCACATCCCCCGTATTTTGACGTTCACGTCAATACACCGGCGTATTTAATTGCATCGGCTCTGTTTAACGGTTTCTATATAGAGGGGTGCCTGGAAATTCTATTATCCGAAATTAATTAATACGAATACGCGAATTTGTGTAATTCTAAGGCGACAGATTATTTTTTACACGGACTTCGTCCGAATCGATGCTGCGGACTTAAATGCTGCTAATTTATGTGTAATAAAAGTTTCATTCAATGATGAAGGTAATATCGATTAGTAGAAAATTTATGGTAATATTTTGTTGTACGAAGTTTAGAATGAATTGATATTGAAAAATCATCAAATTGCAAGTTCATTCTTGCAAGCAGTAGAAACAGTCAGCCATGATCAGACTGTTCACTCCGAAATCATGGCGATTGATATTATTCACCGAACTTCAAACTTGTCGTAGTACTGACAGCATTGTGAGATAATTTTATTGTAATTTTTCCACTTACTTATTTGTACATACAGTAATGTCTCCCTAATCGTCACCGAAATTGTGCACTAAAATAGACAATTTGGGAAGAGGAGACGCGATTATTCGAGTCCTGCGGTTCGTTTTTTTATAATTACCGTTTGTCAATACATATAAAAACGAGCCGCAAGGCTCGAATAATCGTATCTCCTCTTCCAAAATTGTCCATCTTTGTGGACAACGTGATCGTCAATTAGGGAGACATTACTGTACATGTTAATTAAAACGTCTTATGTGTTCGTAATACAAACCTATTTGCAATTATTAGAGATTTATAAGACAGAAGGAATACTAAATTGTTTGCAACCAGACCATGACTTTGTTGAAGACTTCCGCACACGATTTATTTCTCGAAAGTTTTCAGTTAGCTAATCAAAATTCAGTTATCCAATCATTGTTCAAAATTTTGAATTTTTACGTAATCTCGTATCAAATTCAAAAATCATCCCACTCAATTTATGCGCATAAAAATAGATTTCACATTTCTTTTATTGTATGAAGCGTGGACAGTTGACAAAGTACAATGTCTAAAATCTCATCTTTTATGTCACCGCGATCATGTGAACATTAAGCTAGCAAATTGTCGAGAGAAACTAAGTAACCGCTATAACGTTAATCCAATGTTTATATTCGAAACTGTTAACCTGCGATCATTTCCATAAATACAAGCGATAACAGATAACAACCACCCGAAGTTCAAAATTATTGGAAGATAATGATAACCCGTCTTGGCCGATGAACAAGTTAATTGCAGAGCGTTCGTTCTCGTCTTATTTTAATCGTATAAGTTTATTAGTATTATTGCTACTGAACAGTAATTAGAAAATTAGAGATGTCAAATCGGTGACAGACTCTTATAATCCCTCGATTTAAATCTCTCAGAACGTCAACGCGATTTGTTTAAGAGATTTATTGGCAATTTCGATCGTACCATATAGAATATTCAAGGTGTTGGGTTAAGTGTAATCAGTGCGTGAGAAAGTATTCGATTGAATCCCTATGAAAATCCCGCAGACAGTCTCTGCCAAGGCGAATCGAATGAGTAATTCGAGCGAAAGGAGGATACATAAAATATATTAATATCTGACACTACCATCACAATCTCATATTTCATAAAGCTGTAATTCATTCTGTAAAGCATTCTTCGTTATATTTCCATGAGTGAGAGTAGTACATTTAACCCTTAGCTGGGGTGTATTGGGGTTATAAGTGTTTTGCACTTTCATATTTGAGGTCCACCTTAACCCCAGTGTGCCAGTTATTTTTATGCAAATCAACGTACCAGTGAAGCGCTAATTTTTTTGTCGTCTGACAGATTTTTTAAATTATACAACTTACTTTAAACATCCTCTTTATCGCCATACTTGTATCCCACAGGTCTGTAAATGTGTTTCCCACAATTTTATACAATTTTACAGCTAGCATTCTCTGAAAGACTGTGCAGCACCAACCCTGAGCAACTATAATTTGATTCAGACATATGTGACACATATATATATATGTATATATTCTTAACCAGAGTTGGACAAAAAGTAGTGTGGTTAATGATTAACAATTGTAATTTGTTGGTTATTATTATAAATTGGGCAAAACATTACTTAACGGTCTGCACGGTATTGTACTTTAGAATGAATTTCTCTGTGAAAATAACACATTATTATTGAATAATAGTGATGTAGAACACGCGAAGAAAGGAAAATAGTATTTACAATGTGATCTAGTGTTGTCTTACTGAAGATTAACGTTAAGCCATGGAAATATTGCGAGTCAGTCAATACTATCGGCGAAGCTGTAGCCACTTCTTGACGATTATTGCATGTATTAAACGGCAAATCAGTCATTTCAACCGGTTTCATAGCGCCCGTGTTAATTATCCACGAGCATCGCGTCCGTTTTACACTGTTCATCGTCGCGTGCATGGTTATCGTAATCGCGAAACATGCATCGTCATCCGCGCGCAATCTCGAGGACTTTTTTTTGTCCTCGGTATTCACCGTGCACGCTTACGGATAACGGAAACGGATACCCTTCCTCTGATCGCAGAAAAGAATGAGAATCACGATTTTGCGAACTCCGGTGATAGTTTCCTATACCTTGCAATCTGTATCGCGTGGATCATTAAGATCAACGGCAAACCTTACAAAGGCTGTGTTCTAGATGCTGATTGATGGCTGCTATCACGCGTGAACGTTTCCTATTTCACGATTGTTGGATACAGGTGCGGCTTTGATGCGTGCGCGATTCAAATGAATCGATGAGGAAATGAATAGAAAGGCTAAAAGAACTTCAAGGTATTATACAGTAAGGAGTAAAACTGAAACAATAATCGCAAGAATATTTTCATTTATCATCGTGAACTGGAATTATTACAGAAAATAAAGATCACAACAACATTTCATATAGTGTAAGCTGCTACATATACATATATTTTGTGGAGAAATCAATTTTTTTTAGACATTTGTAATCAAAATTCATTGTCTCGGTTTTGTAAGTACTACCGTGCGTCCGCCAGAAGAATGCACAGCAGTCCGTTTTCCCTCCTATGATCACAGCCAGTGATCGGCTATTGGCCGAAGAGGGTGACGTAGATCAACGGCGGGTCTCGAGCCAATAGCCGATCACTGCCTGTGATCATAGGAGGGATAGCGAACTGCCGCAGAAGTGGGAATGTAAACACACTATGTGCCTTCTTCTGGAGGACGCACAGTACATTTGTGCTGAGACCTGGCGCAGTGTTTGCTGTCGAATTATCAAATGTGTACTAGGGTGTTTACATGAGGAGATAGATGTATAAACATGAAAATGAAGGCAATGTTTTATGATACTATTAAAAAAAATCACTTCTGACATAAATGAAGGATTATTCGTTTAGCTTTGCACTTGACTGTGCACGGTTTTCAAATCGTTAAAATTATTAAACATGGAAATTTTCGTCTGGCTCTTGTTTGTTGGTGAAGACAACTAATCTTCGTCTTTTGCTAACCAGTTTGTTCGTACTTTTTATGGAAATAAATAAATACTGACACACGTATCGTTCATTAATTTCATTTGCTCATTATAAATATCCTGCGGATTTTATGCATTCGTGACAAAAGCGTGCAAATAAACCACAAAACAACTGGACACATCAGATACAGGGTGGGCCGGAATTCGTAGTACAACCGGGTGGTTCTACGTGAAAAAAATGAAAAACAAAGATATAACATTTTTTTATCCGGGGTTTCGTTTTCGAGAAGATCGTCTTTAAAGTTTGTTCATCTTTGTAAAGGATTTCGTGTCGTCTATTCTTCTACCGCAGTTGCCTTCGTTCGAGATACTCTTTATGAACATTAATTGTTGCGAAGAGTATGTTTTCATCATTGTCAATGTTTGTAAACACTAACTTGGACAGAGACACCTGCGGTAGATAATAAACACAACGATACACAATTTTAAAGACGATTTTCTCGAAACCGGAGTCTCGGATAAAAAATGTTTTACCAAATTTGTTTCTACTACTACTACGAATTCCGGAGACCACCCTATATATAATACTTTGATATTCTTTATTACATTATATATTTTCTAAAAGTGTTACTATTAAACGGAACATGAAGAAAATCAGAAATATTGTATACAGTATAATTACAGTAACTTACGCACTTTCCAAAGAGATTGCAACAGCTAACCGATTAAAAATGTAACACACATTCATTTTCATCAAATTATTCAAGGTATGCTGAGATTGAGAAATTTATTGAATCAATTTCTATGAAAAAGTCTTCACAATGTCAGCAATTTTAAAATGAAAAATGTTGCACCGGTTATTTTGACTAGTGCGCTAGGTTTCGTGTGAAATTTCCACATCTTTCATTCAAGTTTATAGACAAACTAACGTTTTTCGGAGAGAGAGATAATACAAAAATGTGATAAAACAATTGATAAAAAAATTCCAAATAATATATAATCGGTTAGATTTTTGTCGGAAAGGTTCGTCGTTCGAGTGTTAAATCGTTGATGTGGGAACGTGAAATATTAGCGCGATGGGTGTTAAATGGGCGCGTGCGTCGCAGGATCGAAAGCGTGGCCATAAAAGAGGCCAATAGCAAGCAGGTCGTTGGAGGTGCTCGCGGTGTCTTGATTCCGATTCCCGTTCCTTTCTCGCCACTGCCCACCTTGCGCTGTGCTATTTCGACGCCGCGGGTACAGAAAACCGAGGGAACCGAGTCTGTGAGAGGTCGAGCACGTTCCAAAAATATACGGCGAGCCCATCGAGCGGCATTTATGCGTTCCCGCGGCGTGGGAGGAGGCGGTAAGGTCGACTGTGTTTTCGAACGTTACGTTAGCTCGCGAACGGAGCTTCCTATACCTACCTCTGATCTCGGTGAATTAGTTTAGTGCGATTTCGCAGAATTATGGGAACGCTTCGATGTATCCGAAGAAACGTTCAACCATTGTCACTGTCCGAAACTTTTTGACAGATAAACGGTTTTCTATTTACAGTCGTTGGAGAGATGACCGGTTCCGGATCCTTTATTTTAGAACTTTTTGACGAGAGAGCAACAGGGTGTACATCGAAATTTCACCAGTAGTCATTGCTTTTGAAAAATGAGGAGTATTTAAAAATTGAATGCAATGAATGTTTCGTAAGCGAAAAATGTCTAAAATCTAATCCGAGATTGCGCTCCAGCTTTTCTGTTCGATTTGTAATTATGTTTTACACTCTTTTACACGCGTCCACTCGAGTCAGATTTCAGTTGAACATGACAGGTAAATGAAATTTTATATCTTAGAAGTATAATGGTTTAGTAAACTTTTAAGATACCAATAGGGATGGCTTCTGCTTGTAATCGATAGTCTGTTAAAATATTGATTCTGGATCATATTAAGCAATAAATTGCAAGAATTTTGGACTTATTTCAACGATAATGCCTAGAAATTTATTTGCATTTTCAACTAATTTGACACGCTTTCAGTAACGCGTCTCGTATTTCAATCATGTTGGAGTAACATCTTCTTCAGATACTGGCATACTTTCAATAACTTCGAATAAATGATGTTCCAAAATATCTCTTTAGTCGTGCAGATTCACAATACTTGCTACCAGACGCAGCGTGCCGTGGTTAATTTTTGTTTCATGGAACCAAACAGTTCTTTTTCACTATAGCACAATTTTTATGTTTCTCGATAACAGCGATGCGGCATTCAATAATTGCAATGTATAATTTAATAATTTCGTATACAAAAAGAGATTCTATAATAGAGAACGGCTTTCTAAATCTAAAATGTTGAATGACATGGTCGGAGAAGTCTATTTAAAAAATTACTATATCATTATTTCGGAGCCATACGAGTCTGTCAGCGCTCCAAAATGTAAATCTAAAATATGGAAACTAAAGGATTAATCATTTCGTTTGTCAGTGGCCGACTTCATAATTCGATGAGCACATTAGAACACAAAGCAAAAATTATATTTTGCTATACAAAATTGAATTGAAACAGAAATCATTGGAATTGATGAATAATAGACTTTGTGTCTTTATTTATGTATTTTAGATAATTATCTTACAACATAAAAAATGTAATGATTAAAAAGAAATGTCACTTTGACATGAATATTGTACAGTGTCGTCGTGTCGTCGATATCCGAATTGTAATAAAAAATTGTAACGTAAAAATCAACCTATATTGTAGATGCGTTCGTGCATACCTGAAATGAATCTCAGTTGATATTTCCGATGTTCGTTACAACAAGGGAGAAATAGGTTGAAATGAAATGAGATGAAATGAAAAGAGGGGACTTAGGAATGTTCAAGGGAAATTACCACCGGTAAAAAGAACGATAAGAAATGCCACTTTGACATGAACATTGTATAATGTCCCCATGTTGTCGATATTCGAATTGTAATAAAAAATCGTAACGTAGAAATCAACTTTATATTGTAGATGCGTTCGTGCATACCTGAAATGAATCTCAGCTGATGTTTCCGATGTTCATTATAACAAGGAAGAAGTAGGTTGAAATGAAATGAAATGAAAAGAGAGGACTTTAGAATGTTCAAGGGAAATTACCACCGGTAAAAAGAACGATAAGGTACGGTAGAATCACGGTAACCTGGAGATATTGTTTCTCAGAATTATTGCAAGGATGAAAAACTCGAATCATAACAAGCCAGGCGCGCCGAGGTCATCTGGTCGTTGTTGACACATTGAACTATTGAAATATCAATCGATTTACAGTGTATCCAATCGTGCTAACAATTGATCCAGATGTATCGAATATCCGAGACCCCATTAATTTATGTTCAATTTCTTTTTACCTAAGCGCACGCAGAAAATTTTGCGTGGCATATCTAAATACTAAATAAATTGAAATCCACGTAAGAACAAGAAAGCTTAAGAATACACAATACAGTACAATAAATTGAAGCTCCGGATTTTTGTATACTTCTTCTTCATTTTGGGCGAGATAAAACCAGGGAACAATTAACCAAAAATTGTTACGTATGACGAGAAAATAACCAAATAAATTTCGAAACAATTTGCATTGTTGACATTTTCTAAAGAGACCCTTAAGCTAAACTTATTTCCCTTTATGAAGTATGATTACAATTGAACAAGAAAATTAGGACTCGAAATTGATTTGACGTTCTTTACGTTTTAGTATATGCTTTATTGCTGTGATGATAACTCGAAATCTATCTATCTGTCTAAAACAGATGATTAATTTCATGTTAAATGTAATTTGGCAATTGTAATAATATTTCTAGTGCACGACATGTTACATTGAGTTTTATTCCCGGAGCTGTGTTTCATTATCGTTATCAATTTTATCATGGTTATTTGCACTACTATTTGATGATCGCTCGAAATATAAGTAAGCATAGCAGCATGCTCGTCGAAATCGTCGCGATCCTCCAAGACCGACGATCATTCTGTCATTTCATTACGCAACGGGTGAATGCCAATGCATTAATGTGCCATTAATGACTTCCTCGTGTCTAATTGCAAGCAACGAGACACCCGGCGTGTTGTAATCCCGGTGCTTTCGTTTCCTTGTGGTCACGTTCACGTGCGAGTTTTTCTTCGCAGAATGTTACGACGAGAAAATTTAATTACTAATTGCTAATAATCTCGTTACTTCTGAGTGACCGGAGCCGTCTGTTCTCTCGGATTTATCGGAAACTCACGTTTCGGTGTCTAGATTAATTCCACAGGATGGTATCCAATAAAGATTTTCATCAATGGTGATCTTCCCGTTTTGAACGAGAATCAAATGTTTCATATAATTTAAACTGTGGATAATCATTTAAAATACTCACAATAATGGTAATTGTACCATTCTCTATTGTGCAGGTTCTTTTCGTGAACGCATTCATTACTGAACTCAATAAGGAGATACAGTCTGTCATGATCAGACAAGTTAGCAGATTCCTATTCAACCGTAAAATACAAAATTTTTAACTTGTCTGCAACCGTGTAAAGAAATACAAGTATATATTATAAAACGTATAAAAAATATATATTATATAACCTATAATACATAATAATATACAAGTAATAATAATATATGTATAATATATGATATATATAAAATATAAAATGTTTCATTATATTTAAGAAATAATAAATAATATTTTAAATATTAAGATCTTATTTTGGGTCGCCCCACGATGTTACTTATGCCGAAAAATAGGTGTTCGTTCAAAACTGATCGTTTCTTAGGAAATGAAATTTTGTGAAAGTTTGGGTCTCATTTAAAATCCTCTTACGTCGTATTTTCAACAAATTACAAGTCATTCACAGAGGAATCGAAAATTTTGCAGTGTCGTGAACAGAAAATTATCCTTCCTGAATGATGCCAAAAATTATTGTCGAAGATAAAAATGAACACGTGGAAATCCATGCGTGATCAGACTAGGACCGTGCGCGTGTTTATCGCATGGTGGTTTTCCATTGAAATCTTCGTTCGATTCGAAACGGTCATGTAACGATCCTATTCGCGGAAGGAAATCATGCGGCGTGTCTCCTCGAACAGAAGGAATTCGAGCGAAGAGACGCGGTCGCGGCGCAAAGAACGGAATTCAGCGACACTTAAGCGAAACTGAATAAATTTCGGCCGTGCCGGAAAGGGCCGTGTGTTGTTCAATTTTGAAAGACCAGAGTGAAGCACAACAGCGTATGTAGGACGTGCACGTTGTACGTTACACATGTCGCAAGAAAACAGAGTCATTGGCGTGACATATGAGACGATATCGAGACGGGAATACCTGATAGAAATGTAGCCCGGTTCTTTTAGACACGCCGCTTCCCTTCAAAGGGTACTCGTTCCAATATCCTTCGGTCTGACAAACACGCGCAATGGAGTCGCTCGAAACAAAGAAAATAAATATACTTGTAATCTCGAACGATAATAGAGATACGAACCGTCGCGACGGTTAATATTAGAACTGGTCTCCTTTGCGCGACCATGTTCTCAATGGGGATCGATCAGCGACTGATTTTACGCAAAGAATCGTGAAAGTCTAAGTATCTCTCCTTCCCAGGACATTACTCGGCGATTTTTATAGCTGCGCATTCATCGACAAACAGTTTGCCATCAATAGGCTACTTCTCTGTCTAGACTTTGCACATTTATAACATTCATAAATACTTGAAATACAGGAAATGAAGATTGATATTGATTTTATTTCTAGCTCAAGCATTCATTGACAACATCAAGTTTTCAGTGGTTTTGGCTTTTATGGAGTTAGCTGTGAAGGTAGAATTTGCATAAAGGGGTCTGCAGTTTTGAACGTGTATTTATGGTAAAGAGTGTTTCAACAACGATTTTCTTTTCACTGCTTACCGAAGATGTTAGCTTCGAATCCAAAAATTCAAACGAAGATTGTGGAGGTATGCCGTAATCGTTGAGTCTCACTACTATGATATCATGTGACAACTATTATATTGAGAACATTCATATAAACAAGGCATTTTCGAATTCGATCAATTAACTAAATTTAAGCGAAAGTACAACGCTCGGATGTTAACGGGTACAGTGCGGATTTTATGCATTTATAGCGAAATCGAGTGAACAAAATGCAAAATAGTAAAGGCATTAAAATATTATATGGTTAAATTAAAATATTAATAATACTGTGATTATTATATATTTACGCTCAACTTCTGTTTTCCACAATTGATTTTTTCATTTTGCACGAAAATCCATAATCAGTTCACGGAAAAAGCTATAAATGAAAATTGTCAGAATTGATTTTATTTTTTAACTTGATCTCTTTCTATCTATCGACTTCTTTGCTAGCGATGGAATTACGTAAAAGTACGTGAACGATACAGAGACAAAAAAAGCGAAAAGTTAAGTACGAATGCCATCTGGTAGAGGAGTTATTCAGCAGACCTTGGTTAACCTGTCTTGGTTATTATCACCTATCATCGTTCGATTATTCTATTTATCGTAAGCACCAGTGTGTATGTCACATAGGCGATGTCGTCAATTCGAATTCGATGTCGTCAAAAACGGAACCTTCTACGAACAAATTCCATTTTACACTTTCTTCCAAGACACCGTCATTTTTATGGTTATATCACAACTTCGGAAACACCCTGTACATGCGCCGTCGATTCCGCGATGCACTGTTTGTGGCTTGCGTCGCGCTTGACCTTTGACTTCTTTTTTGCGATTGTGCGTTCACATTGACGGAAGTTGCAGCAATCGCTTAGCATTTCCCAAGCGGTGTCTTTCTCGTTCCACAATTATTTACGATGATTCGAGGAAGTTCTGTGAATACATTCGTACGA